CAAATTATATACTGTGATATTTCTGTCTATTTAAATCCAAATTTAGTTTATATTTTCCCTTTAATTAAAAAAAAAAAAAAGATTGGGCTGGAGAGATGGCTCAGAGGTAAGAGCATTGCCTGCTCTACCAAAGGTCCTGAGTTCAATTCCCAGCAACCACATGGTGGCTCACAACCATCTGTAATGGGGTCTGGTGCCCTCTTCTGGCCTGCAGACATAGACACAGACAGAATATTGTATACATAATAAATAAATAAATATTTAAAAAGATTGACTTTTATGTGTATGAGTATCTTGCCTGCATGTATAAATGTGTACAAGCGTGCACTGCTCTTGGAGGCCAAAGAGATCATTGGATCTCATAAAACTAGAGTTAGAGATGGTTGTGAACCAAGTGATAAGGGTGTGGGAAACTCATCCCAGGTCCTCTAAAAGAGCAAGTGCTCTTAACTCCTGAGCCCTCTCTCTCCAGTCCCTTCCCTAACATTAAGTACAGTCTGTTTAAATCGGGAGTTGACACACTGTTCTGTGAAAGGTCAAACAGTAAGTATTTTAGGCTTTGCTGGCCACACAGCCTCCGCTGAAATGCTTTAACTCTGTCTCCATAGTAGAAAGCAGCCACAGGTGTTATGGAGATGAATGGATATGGCTGTGTTCCAGTAAAACTCTATTTATAAAACAAACAGAGGAGGGATTTGGCCCTTGGGCAGCAGCAGTTTGCTTTGTTACCTTAGCAAATGTTCAAAATTAAAATCCAAATTAAAGAAAGGGAGAAAGGGGACCCTGGTACTTTTATTTTTCCAAACAAAAGCCAAAGTTTCAAGTAGATATGTCAGAACATCCCTTTTAGGCTGGAACTAGGATTAATTAAATAACACTTCTAGGTGATCTAATAATGGCTGTCTAAATGAAAACAAATTTCTCTTAGATGTCTACTTTGATCAATATTAAATGGAAAGTTATCACTCAGGGTACTTTTACAAGGCAAGAAGAGACGAACTAAATTGGCCATTAGTCATAATAAGAGGTGCATCAAATACAAAGCAGGGCATTGTGGAAGAATACATATCCAAGGAAGAGTTTCCTCCAGCTAGCCCGAGTTCTCCCCCCAGCTCTAAGCAACCATCTTCTCACACCTCAAAAGCAAATACTTAGGATAATATTCTTTTTAAAACAGAGTTTCCTTTTTTTCTCTAGAACTTGTAACTCGCCACTTGCTGATATCCCAAACTTCTTTGGGGTAGTGCGTTCCAAGTTATACTAGTTAATACATTTTGACTGTGCTGAGAATAAGACTCTAAACTCTCTAGAAAGTTCAATGTGATTTAGCCAAATAGAAAAGATATCTAAAAAGATTCCTATCTTTGCAATCAAAGACTTAGACTAAGGAACCTCCCATGTATCCTGTAAATGAAACAGTCAGGATTCTCACAGGGTATGTCCTTTTCCATCCAGACTTACAGAGGCAGGCTACAAAGCAGGTAAACAACAGTTCTTTCAAACTTGGATAATTCAGGATCTACAGGGATGAGTGAATTTAAACACAGGCTGGTATATTTCAACTTGTTTTTGTACCCAAGGGGACTGCCTCTAAAAGTTAATGGTCTGTGAAAATGTCTGATATAAACCTGAGTCTGCCCCCCAGAAAATAAGAAATCCCGAGGGAATACTACTAATTCAGATCCAAAATCTGAATCTCCTGGAAGTCAGTCTGTACACACCAGAGATGAGGTGAGGTACTCAGAAGCTGCAAATGAGCCCTTGAGGAGCCTACACTGTGACACGGGGATTGGAGCCAAAGATTACAACACAACATGGTACTGCAGTAGCCAAGGAATCTGCACTTAGTGACCAGATACAAAAACCATCTCAATTAGGACATCATAGGAAACACAGGAAGGGATACGAATAGATCAAAGCACTACTTACCTACCAGATCAGGTCATTTTCAAAGGCTAATCATATCCATTGCTCCTGCGGGATACTGGCAAACAGTCTCTCTTATACTATTGACAGTGTGAGAACCTGGCCACTTAAAACTTCATATTGTTGGACCTAGAAATTCTATTAGTCTCAATGAGTCCAAGTTAGTAATCCAGTTGCACTAACTATGGTTTGATAATATAATGTCAGATTCTTATAACATTATCTCTGAGCAGAATGTCCAACAAGCAGGTGATTATATACAATAACTAACATTTACTAAGGGTACATGCTAATCTAAGACATAACATTTCATTTAATCCCTCTGAAACTCAGAAGTCTCTATCTCCAGAGTGGCAGGACCAAGACTCAAGACAGTCCAGGACCCTTGATTTATATGCTACTTAGCCTCTAGGGGTTTGCCACCCAATACAAAGTTTCAAGATACAAATGCAGATCTAAGCTTAACCTCTTATTTATTTATTTATCAGAAATGTACCAGATACCTAATCCTGGACACCAAAATGCCACAAAAGCAAAGTTAGATTTCCTATCCTCAAGAAGCCATCACAGAGATGGGCACAAAAACACAAGATTGGTATTTCTGTACTGCTAGAAATAATTAAAAGAAATCATACTAGCTCCAAGAGAGGAGGAGTCTAGTCAATTCTGTGTTGAAGGAAGAGTCACTGAGGAAGGTTATAAGAAAGGAAGAAAATGCTTAACCATAATTTTGAAGGATGATTTAAAAAAAAAACAGCAAGGGAAGGGGAGAGAAGGGGTAGAAAGAATGTCCACTGCAGAAAAATGGAATTAACTATAAAGAAGCATCAAAGTCACCTAGGTCACCACATTAAGAAGCAGAAGTGCCACCACTCACCCTCAGGTGCCCCAAACAAGACAAGGAAGCATCAAGCACCTGCTGTCTCAGATCACATTCCCCCAAAAGACTGACTCCTCCCAACTCCCTCACCAGCTGAGAGTGGGAAAGGAGCTGAGAAGGCCCTGCCAAGGCTGAGCAGTGCCTGGCACAGGAAGATACTCCACAAACTTGAAAAATGGATGCACACTATTGTACCTTACCCCATCTATAATATTACCACCTTAAATATGAAAACTCAAACGAAGGTAACGTTGCACTGTTTCCTATATGATTTAATGAAATATCACACAGTGATAAAATTTTCTAGTGCTCTAGATAGCAGCCCTAACTTCCCCCCACCCAATTTTTTTTTTTTTTGAGCAAAAGTTGGAAACAAAACACACCTAAAGACAACAGTGGAGAGTCTCACCTTGCTCTGTTCTCCCAGATATTTCATCAGAGTTCATCATCTGAACCTAAGACAACGAAGCTGGCAATTAAGGATTTATTACACCTTAATAAAGAGGAGGAGGAGAAAGAAGAGGAAGAGGAGGACGAGGAGGAGGAGGAGGAGGAGGAGGAGGAGGAGGAGGAGGAGGAAGAAGAAGAAGAAGAAGAAGAAGAAGAAGAAGAAGAAGAAGAAGAAGAAGAAGAAGAAGAAGAAGAAGAAGAAGAGGAGGAGGAGTAGTTGTTCTTTTGAGCCACTGTAACTATCTTCAAAATCACCAGTTGAAGCTGTTTGTGTTACAGATGGAATGGTTCTCTGGCATTTGAGACTACAGTAAGACATAGGAAACAAGTGCCAGCAGTTGAGCCATGCCATTACAGTCCTAATTAAAGTTTTTGACACAAATAGTAGATCAGGATCAGGAAGCGACTTCATGAGTTCAAATATTATGAAAAAATACATGGAGTCTTGTATGACCCTATTTCAAGACCAATGAAGGTTTAACTATAACCCCCATACTGTCCTGCCAAATCCATTTCTCGGTATAAATGCCATACAAAATTACACAATGGGTCCACACTAACCCTATTTATATGGGAATTACAGAAAGAAGTCTTTAAAACCCTGTAGGGATAAATTTGTTTTTCTCAGCCAAGTGTTAACAGCAATAAATAGAAGATTTGCATGTAAGCCCTAACAGCGGTTACTCAGAAATTACCACCCATGCTAGGATTTAGCAACTAAGCATTTCAGTTAATCCCCACTGCCATAATAGGGCAATTTAAAAGATTTGTTTTTATTAATATACTACATGCAAAATGGAAATATCTTTGATATTTTAAAGTAAATTATTTTCCAGGACAGAATAGCCAAACAAATGCTTTCCCTCCAGTATAATCATTAAAAATGACTAAATGAACATCCTTTCCATCAATATTGGTATTTCTCAAAAGTTAGATACATCTGAATCCTTCACAGTGAATTTATATGTTTTATTCCTTCTAAATTTTTACAAATGGACACCACACTAGGAAATGTGAACTTATTCACAAGTTATTCACATCCCGTTAATGGGTATGTGGTAAAATTATGTGCACCCACCCACTGTTGACCCAGCTACCCAGCAACTTGATTCACTTCCTGGGATTCCATCAGCATCTGCCAGTGAGACTGCATTCTCTGGCAAATAATTCCAGACTATAAGAGAAAATGGATACTACTTTAAGCCCTAAGAACCAGTTTGTGACACATATTACTATGTTATGTCGTGATTGACAAAAATGATCATTTAGAAAACTGAGTTGCTTCACCCAACCGTCATACTCTAAATATACAACCAACTCCTCTTCACACGCAAAGTCGGGGCGGGAAGATACAAGACCCCACTTGGCCATGGAAAAATGATAGCGTTTATGATGACGTTTAACCCAAGAAAATAAAACCACGCACTGCCGTCCTACTATCTGATGCAGTCAGGAGAGACTGCTGGCCAGTCCTCTTGACTTGAAGACATCCTTCCCTTCCTGCTCTTCCTTCCACTCACGTCCCCACTACACACTCGGGTGCTGAGGCGTCCAGACAGGGCAATAGGCATCACTAGGAAACACCTTCGTGAAGAAACAATGTGTTCTAGCAAAAGACCCCTGTGGCGCTCTGATTAGGCGCACACTCTCTCACAGGTGCGACCCGCCAGACCCACTGTTATTGACCAGCTGGGCTGGGGCGGCCTGTGGGCAGCACTGGGTGCCTCCTGCAAGTATCACTTACTGTGCCTGGCATGTGACTTCTCTCGTTCCTCCCATTCTGAGAGCTGCCATTTTTAAGCTTCTTCTTCTTCTTGGCTGTCTCTTTGTGTTCTTTCTGCTTGTTCTGCACTTCAATCAGAGCAGAAATAAAGCTGTTTTCCACTTCCTTCTCAAACTCCAGTTCATCTCTCAGGGCCAGCTGCTGCACCAGCTCCTCAGAATACTCCTTGATGGCTGTCTCGATTTCTTCCAGCAGTTCGTTTAGCTCGGACACCGAGAGCCTTTTCACTCCTGTGACCAGAAACAAAGAACAGAGAATACTGAGACACCCCTGTCTCGAAGCAGCATAGTGGGGTGTTTAAAACCAAAGAACAAGATCAAAGTCTAAGCAATTATGCTGTCTGGGATCTTCTCAGAAGCCCAGAGGTGAGTAAGCAATGTCACTCAGCTAAGATGAGAAAACACCTCACAATTTCTAATGTATATAAATCAAACATCCCATGAAGAGTCCTATAGCCAAGACTGAAATCAAGCTGGTGTGAAGAAAGAACAAACACAGAAGGAGAGGAAGGGTCCAGAAACTGCCTGCTGACATACAGAGACAAGATGAGCAGGAATGAAGGGGAGGAATCACACTCAAAGACTAAACTCAATGCTTGTTTAATCTTATATCCCCCCTCTCGTGCATCTGGCTGAAGATCAGGAAAATGAAAGGAGGGACAGTCCACAGGAGTCACCCCAGCTAGCATGGGAGGTCACTGCTGGAGTCCCAACACAAGACTGGATGAGCTGGGGGGGGGGGGGAGATTTAGAAAGGTCATCCAATAACAATGAGTTTATTAGACGAAATTTAATCCAAATGCAACAGCTGTCCTTACAGAATAAAGACACTATCGGGCAGAAGGCAAAGAAGACCACATGAAAACCCAGGGAGAAGACATCGCAAGCCAAGGAGTTGGATTTTAACACCTGGACTACAGAGCCGTGAGAAGGTAAATCTCACTGTCCAAGCCACCCAGGCTAAGGGACTGTTTGTTACAGGACTGTGACCTAACTAAGGCATACTTCCCTATATCTTACCATGCATCCACGCTAGATTTTGCAATCAGGACTCCAGCAATGCTAAGGGCTTATCTACAGAGTTGTGGCCACATCCCACCAAAAGGTGTGTCAGAGGACCTTCCACAGGTTAAAAAGAAGCCATACAATACAAAAAGATTGAGGCAGTCCAGCCCTAGACCTCTGCTCAGGCCACAAATACAAACCAGATCACAAGGGTGTTATCCAGCATGGAACCAGGCGTGGCGACAGTCACAGATGCACAGAGCATTCTCGTGCTGGGTACAGTCATTCAGAACCTCTTTGACACCGAACACACAGCAGTATTCACAGTTCAGTGTTCCCATGGAAACACAGATCCCCTTCTGACAAACTTTCATTTCCCAAAATTCCTCAGAGCTCCATCAAAGACAACTATTTATAAACATAAGAATTATTTCCAATTAATACACCCATCTTGCTTTTTATGGGCTATACTGTCTCCCTCCAAAATGCATGCTGAAGTCTTAGGCCATAGCACTGCAGAATACACCAGCATTTGGTGCATTTACAGAGACACAGTTGAAGTGGGGTCCAGTGTGACCTGTGTCTTATAAGATGAAATGTAGACACAGATATGTACGGAAGGAGGGCCAGGGGAAGCATGGCCACCCACAGGCAAGGGAGGAGAAACAACTAAGCCTTAACCTTGGCCCTGAGGCTGTCAGAACAACCAGAAAATAACTTCAGGCTGTTGAAGCTCTCCAGGCTGCAGTAAATTCTTCCAAAAGCCCCAGCAAACTAATCCAGAGTCTGAAGAAAATACAACACAGTCCTGAACAATGACCAAATTATGTACAAAGAACCAGACAGCCAGAGGACCCAAGAAGACGGGTAGCTTTCCAGAAATGATGGCATTATGTGTTGGACATAGACAGAAGGCACAGAGACGGAGGTAAGGAGGGTTTTGTACTGGCTGGTTCTGTGTGTCAACTTGACACAAGCTGGAGTCATGAGGGGATGGAGCCTCAGCTGAGGAAATGAGTCCTTGAGATCCAGCTGTCAGGCATTTCCTCATTTATGAGCACTGAGGGAGGGCCCAGTCCATTGTAGGTGGTGCCAACCCTGGACTGGTGGTCCTGGATTCTAAAAGAAAGCAGGATGAACAAGCCATGGGAAGTAAGCCAGTAAGCAGCACTCCTAATTGACCTCTGCATCAGCTCCTGTCTCCAGATTCCTGCCCTGTTTGAGTTCCTGTCCCGACTTCCTTCGGTGATGAGCAGCCATGCTGAAGTGTAAGCCAAACAAACTCTTTCCTCCTCAACTTCCTTTTTGGCCATGGTGTTTCATGCAGGGAAAAAAAAAAACCTAAGATAGGTCTCTTACTCTCTTCATAGCTGCTCATGCTAGACCTCTTCAGAGTCTGAATCTCCTGGGAGAGCATAGAGAGCCGGTCTGACTGTGTGGGGGTCTCATCATCTTCTGGGTCTGGTGATTCCTGCATCATTTCTTCAATTTCTTCAATAACCTTCCAAAACACATATACCAGTGTTAATAGAATGCACAGGAGAAAAGCCTGCCTGTACCACAGCACTCACCGGAGTACCCAAGCAGAAGTGTGTGAAGTCCTTATTGTGTGCAGGAAACACATGGAAAAGTGAACAGAGCTTACTTAGAATATATGAACACAAAATTAAACAGAATATGAGCTGGTATGTCCATCTCAATTCTGGAGATGCTAATACATCTACACATGTCTGGAAAATGGTGACATGATTTATGCAGACCAGATAATAAAGTTATAGCTAAAAGATGGTAAATAAGAAAAAATGTACTCTGTACCACATGCATGCACTCAACATAAATGTAATCTACATTAGCCAAGACTTTGACACAGAACTCACAAAATGTAATATTCATAAAAATATCCATATATAAAGCAGGAAGTAGCTCTCTAGCAGCTAAAGAATTTCATATATTAATTCAGTGGAAGACAAAGGGGGTATTTTTAAATTACTGAAAACAGAATCAGATGAGGAGGAAGCTGAAAGAAGGATAATTCTAGAAATAAACATGCCTTTAATTAAACTATGACCTGCTGTCCAAAACTGAGGGACTCGATTCTGGCAACTGTAGATAGCAGAAAGGTACTAACTATGCCTTAAAGGAGTGAGAGGGCATTTAATCATTGACAAAAAAATTAAAAACACAATTCAATGAAAATATAAAATAGCATGAGTACACGTGACAGTACCTAGGAATCAGAAAACGTAATCAGTAGCTCTTCAGCTGGGAAAGGACTATGCTACGGAGGAAGCCTTCCCAAGTAGGGACTGTCAGCAGGACAGGAGACATTCAAGGCTATAGAGCTGGTTTCTGGGGAGGGGACTGCTCCGGGTCATATCTCTCCCTGGGTTTTTATGCCCTCCGGAACAGCATTCCCTCTCTCTCCAGCACCAGGGCTCCAGCCTAGAACAATCCAAGCACGAGGGAAAGCTGGACCATCAGGACATTCTTAGCGTTACATTTACTCCTCTGACCTTGCCGTAACGTATCTCCTTACTGACCTTCTCGTCCCTGCCTAAAAATAAAGCGTGACAGAATTCACAGCCCACGTAGCCTCGGAACATTTTATTTCAGGAAGTTCTGCTGTCACACTTGGACGACACCACAGAGGTGGGGGGTGTTCAGAAATGACAAGACTGCCTTGACTGGTTTCAGATGAACCCAGGGTTGACATGACTATGGTGCTACACAGGTGAAATGTTTGCTTCTTTCTACGATGTTTAATAGATGCTTCTATTATTTGTTATAGATTCTTACCCAGGGTTCTACAAAAATTTGTCTGGCAGAGCCAGGCATGGCAGCTCAAGCCTTTGATTCTAGCACTCAGTAGACAGAGGTAGGTGGATCTCTGTAGTTTGAGGCCACCTTGGTCGGCATAGGGAGTTCCAAAACAAACAAAAATACCAACTCAAATACCGTCCAGTTCTTTCATGTAGGGTCACCTTGTAAAAGAACTTACTGATTATTTGGTGGGGGTGGGGGTTAAGCAATAACCCTCCATTAGTAACTTGTAATCAGTCACAGACAATGCTGAGCATAAAAATCTCACCACTTCCTTGGATAGCATCTACCTTGTTTTTGCCTCTCCGTTGAAGACTCACGTTAAGGCTGCATTAGCCACACAGTGTAGGGCAAGTGCAGTAGTTCTGATAAGCACCATCTGCAGCTTTAGTAAGACATGGCTCTCGGCTGTGGGTTCTGCTTCACCCCCATACCTGGTCTGCAGTGAAGAGGGGCTCCTCGTTGACACAGGAGACGATGATCGAATGCATATCCAACTGCTCCCTCAGCTCCTCCTCATCTGAGGTGTCAAAGAGTAAGCCTTCACTCATCTAAAAACAAAAGCACCCCCATTTAACAGCAAGTCCTTCTGATGCATATGTCAACATTTCTGTACTAAAGAAGCAACAGGAAGCACACGCAGTAGAACTGTTCCTTGGAAAGGAGTCGGGAGTCACCCTAGATCAAGCCACACCGTGTGCTCCCCCAGTAGCAGTAAGTACAGCACAGGACAAACTTTAAAATGACAAGGTCGGCAAGCACCCTATGGTCTCACACAAATGTAGAGCTACTTTTCGAGAAGCAGCACCTACCAGAGCAGCATAAAAACTAACACTTGGATAAAAGGAAAAACAAAATGCAGTATTTATTAGCAAACTGTAAGGCACTGGACTGAACAGAAGGTAGCAACGAGTACATAGTTGACAAACTGGCATGTGTTTCAATTCTACAAAGCCATCTACAAACTACTTTCTAATATTCAAATACTTAGAATAAAAGTAGTCAACATCCTGGCAGGCAGGAGCCATCCATGAGACATTCAGTCCTCCCAAATGAACATCCCTCCTTCCAAAAGAAGACAGAATACCTCTAGGTTCCTAAAACACCTTTAAGCCTAACTCTGCTGGAGGGTCTCCAATCACCTCAGCTCCATTTGCTTCTATGTTCTGTATCCAGGAGGCTGACCATATGGACCAGATCTAAGGACGCCCTTGACTTCTGGGTTACATATCACTGGCGCACACCAGGAGACTGCAAGGTGAGAAGGAGTGAGCTGGGCACTCACCCTGCTGTCTTCCTCTTTGCCAGGACACCATTTGTCAGCTCTGGCTCTGTACCAAAGACCACAGCTCTTGTCAGGCAGAGTTCTTCTCAGCAAATCTCTCCAGACTATAGAAACTTCTATTTTCCTTTTCATATTGGGGCTGCTAAAGTGCCAGTAACTGTTGCCGTGCCTGGGTACTGCACCATCCAATAGCTGTTAGCATGCCTGGGGTACTGTATCATCCAGTAGCTGTTGCCATGCCTGGGTACTGCACCATCCAGTAGCTGTTGCCATGCCTGGGTACTGTATCATCCAGTAGCTGTTGCCATGCCTGGGGTACTGTATCAAGCCTTGTCAGTTTCCCTTATGCCTACCCAACCCAATATAAACAGCCCCTTTAGGAATACTGAGTTTTGTATCAATAGCAACTGAAGAGCTACCTGGGAAAGCAACAGAGTCAAGGAACGATTATCTAGCTAGCTGGCTATGAGTCAGTCACCTATTGTCACATGACTATTCTCTTGGTGAACAGAACTAAAATTAGAACTCTATTCTCCAAGAGCAATTAGCACACAGTGAGACAAGGGGCAACAAGGCCTGTGGAAGAAAAGAAACGTGCCATTACATTACATAGTACATCATTAAGATGATCTAGTAATCAATTATTATATTATACAAACGGCCAAGAAACTGTAATTGAAATTTTTAAGTAAATAAATAAAAACCTTTAGAATTCAAATGTGCCAAAATCAGAAGCTTTTTGAGAAGTAGGACGATGTCACCAGGGGGAAATTCCTCATATGAATGCTGTACTCAAGACACAGGTGCATCAAACGTATTACATAAAATTGCCATCAGACTATGTATATAAGGTATATGCGACACAGAAATGTAATTATGTTTATACCTGGATGCCATCTCCATATCTCAGTACATGCCTACAAATATCCCAATTTAAAAAAAAATCCAAAATCTGAAAGACTTGAGGCATTTTGGATAGGGAATATTTGACCACTTATAAATATAACATTAGCATAACTAAATTAGCACACTTTAGGCAGGTATAGTAACTGAGACCTGTAATGCCAGCAAAAGGCTGAGACAGGAGGATCAAGTCAGCTCATAGCCATCCTAGGCAACTCAGTAATATTCTGTCTCAAAATGAAAAGTACGAGGCCAGTTAGAGATCTAGCTCAGTTGTAGACAGACCTGTTTAAAACCCTGGTTCAAACCCCAGTACTCGGAGGAAGGGAGGTTCATCTGGAAAAATGATTTTATTTACTAGTACATAGGATATATTTAAACTTCAGGATACAATGAAGCGGATGCAGGTCCCTAGAGCCTTCCCATTCCTTACACAGGAGTTTTCAGATGAATGTCAGCCAGGGTAAGGCCGGTGAATGAAAAAGGCATAGGAAGGAGCCACAGGCATGCTGGTTTCCCAAGGGAGGGTGGGAAAGCCTGCTGTTCACCAGGTCTACCGTCAGTGTGTCCCTGCAGACCCTCGGGGACAATGTGCCTCCTCTTTCTGTTCACCAGGTCTACCGTCAGTATGTCCCTGCAGACCCTCGGGGACAATGTGCCTCCTCTTTCTGTTTCTCACAGCATCTTAGGCCAGGAAAGACCTGGCAGCACGGACTCTGACATACACACCCCGCGAAATTTCAGAACACCATGTGTCAAAGACAAAAGAAAAAGAGCAGACAGAAGAGTCGGAATTAATACATCACTTTAATTTACAACAGCAACAATAGATGCCAAAAGCCAATCAATGCAATTTCCCTGTTCAAAAACAAAATCCATCCTGGAGCCTGGAATCTAATGTCCAGCCAACTGAACAACTGGGCGGAAGCTAAAAATAAAGACATTTTTAGATGTGCAGTACTCAAAGAATTTACCTTTCCTGCACCCGTTCTCAGAAAGATACCCACAGGAGACTGGGGAGGAAACGGGAGACAAACACAAGGGCAGAAGCCAAGGTCATTCTTGCCAAGACAGAGGATGTCTGGGAAGGTGAGAGAGAGCAACCCATTCTCACTAGAACGGCTACTGCACAGCCACAATTGTCTACTCAGGGTCTCTTAAACTGTCTACTTGCCACCCCCTTTTAACTCAAAAAAATTTTCACATGCCCTTGTATCTATATAAAAAAAGAAACCATCTACCAATAATAAGACATTAGGAAATTTAGAAATGTATTTTACAACATTTCTTTTGGTAGAGGTGTATTTTTCCATGTAATAAGAATAAACCAAATCTGCAGACTAGTGGAGTATATGTTTATTTTTACATACCAATTAGATCTTAGCTAAAAATTTGATACCCCCAAGACACAACCTATCTTCAATGCTTTTCAGACTCAATCAAGATTTTGATTTTATAATCCTCAATGCTAAGAATGCCAAATATATAGTACAAAGGAGCAGAAGCATGTTTAGGGCCATTCCAGCGACTACTGAAAACCCTGTTGCAATCCTAAGCCAAAATTCGCTGAACAATTTTTGATGGGAGCTCGTTAGCAACTCAAACAATAGTTATTAAAGTCCAACATTCTGACACATCACAATCCGAAGATACACCGATGTGATACTTGCCTGGTTCAGAACAAAAAAAGGAAAATACTACGTTCTTGGTTTCTGTAATCAAACAATTACGTTTCTATAGGAACAGAAAACTTGGTATGCACAGTGAAAACACTGCAATGCATGTTTACTGCAACAGTCCCGGATCTGAGCCGAGATGTCACAGGTGGCACGTGCAGGGCAGAGTGCACAAGCTGTGTTCAGAACCAAGGCTGCAGTAAAGTCACAAGATGCACTGAGTGAACATTGGCAGCAACACCTAGGATTCGTTACACACTCCATTTTGAGTTGATCTGGGGTATATTCGGAAACCGTTTACTGCAGTCAGCTTTCTTTCCTGCCCACATTCACTGACGCAGCGCCATGTGGGGTCAGATTGAGTTTACGAAGCTGGGGTCCCGCTAGCACATTATCGAAATGAGGTGTATGTCCCTGCGAGGCTGACCGACATGTGACGGTGGTAAGTATGCCTCACACAAGATGTCAGATGAACTTACCCGGGGATTCTGACAGGCTCACACCGGGAGAGCAGGAGGAGGGAAAGTCTGCCTGTCGGTTAGAGCTGGAAAGTGGGGGACAGCAAGAGTGCAATTTCATCCTCTGGGGAGGCCAAGGCGCAAAATCCATGAGAAAGCAAACTGAGTCAAAAGGTTATCTGCTAGCACAGCAGCTGAAGGTGGCGGCAGTGGCACTAGTCACTGAGGATGCAGGGCAGGAGCAGCCCTCACGTCTTGGCCCCGTAGTGCTTGCTACTAAATGATGGCAGGTACTTCTGATAATTAATCCCAGTGAGAAAGGTTCAGAGACTAGGCTCTTCATGAGAGTTTGAGTCCACTGCCATAGAAACAAAGTGCAGGGTGGGGGAAGGGAGCTGGTACGGTCACAGTGTGATCAGAGCATACAGGATGACACCCATAGTCAGTATTCTCACGCCGCACACTCACCTGCCCCATCATCCTTCCCTGTAGCTTGAACATTAGAATTTTGTTTTCTTTTTCTTCCCTGGCTTATAAATAAAGTTTTAATTTTAAAATCACTGTTAAGGAAAACATCACATCCATCCTCTTTCTACTCTGGGAGATACCAAGATGCACTAGAAAACAGACCCTGTGGACCAGGCATGGTGGGCACGCCTAGGATTCCAGCACTGGGGAGATGAGACCGAAGGACTTCAACTTCATCCCCAGCTAGGTAGCAAGTTCAAGGCCAACCTGGGCTACTTGAGACCCAGTCGAGACGGGAAGATGGAGAAGAGGAGGAGGAAAGTAACATCCAATTGTACGCAAGGAGGAAAGGGAAGGTCACGAGAGACACTCCAAGCCAAAATGATGAAAGCATTCCCTCGCCCAAGCATAGTAAGCAGGAGCACTCATCTAGAACAGATTCCAAACACTAGAAATGCAAAAACACTGCACTACAAAATTTCCATGACAACAGAAATAATGATCCCAGATCATCTTTCCAGAGAGGGAACCAGGCCTACTCCCCATTTTCCCCCACACCAGGGCTGAGAATGATGAGGCCTTTGAAAGCTAACCCCTGACTGACAAGGGGCTCCTCAGTCACCCTCCCAGCGAGCAGAGTGTGCCTTCCTCAAGCCAAGATTCCCTTCACTCCTCCCATGCCTGGGTGAGGCACAGCTGATCCTACCGTGGCCCTGCATTCAACTGCACACACAGCAAATGGAAAAAACATGCCCATAAAAGAATGTGGAATGTGCCAGGCTTCTAGAAAGGACCCAACAAATGCGAAAAATGTGTGCCATGACCGTCAGTGAGAGAAAATGAAATCTAACTGTTGTTTTCCTGAATATTAACACAAAAAAGCAAATTATTCTCTTATTCTTGAGAAAAAAAAAATTCCCCTTAAAGACCCCATTTTATAAGGAGGGTAGTGCAAAGAGCGCTTTCAGAACCCAAATTGTACTCAGTCGTGGAAAGAACACAGCACCAACACGACGATGATGGCACCGCTCTCCTAGGCTACATTTTTTCTTAATTGTACAGCACCGAAGAGTCCCACGATGGCTCTGCCCTGACTCGTGCACACCAGTTCTTCAGGAACTCTGTGCAGAGATGATCTTTCTGGGGGTGGAGCTCTACTCTAACTCTGTCAGCAGAAGAAGAGCCACAGCAAGGCACACGACTGACCGAGTGATCGTCACGTGTATTTGACCTACCCTACGTGTGTCCCAGGGAAAGCCTTCCACATGAGTCCCAGTATTAAATGGAAAGTCTTTACTCGTCACTAGCATGGCCACAGACATACTCGGACACTACAAAGAGCGCCCGAGGGACACAAAAGGAGTGGAGTTACAGAGGAACAATACGAGACTGATATTTTATTCAGTGAAGTCAGGTCGGAGTACTTGAATCATGGAGCTCTTGGGCTTCTTTTCCAAGCTATGAAATGCACTGTTTTATGTTACTTTTTTAGAATGTCAATAAGAAAATATACTCAAAAAAAGAAAGTATACTCATGAATCCTTTCAATTAAAAAAATTAAATTAAAACAAGGCAAAATTTCCATCGTGGTTTCTGTCTTCAGTCTCAGTGAAAAAGTGGAAGTCTCAGTTCATCTACTTACTCAAGAGAGTCAGTTACTAGAAAGTCACAATCTAATGACCGCCAACAGAAACATGATTAGTGAGAAAGCACCGTGATGATTTGAAAGACACATGGACGCTGCCCTGTGGGGACAGAAAACAAACGCTGTAAAAGTTCACATCTCCGCAGGCTCTCCAGTTTCTACGCAGGGGCATGTTTTCTTCCGCGAGAGGATTTGGGCCATGGTGAAGAAACCATCTGTCAGTGATGCTGTAGGTGGGGTTTCTTCCATCTGAGAGGCTGGATTAAGTGTCCTTTAGAGACCCTAAAATTGTCTAATTCCATGAGATCAGCAGAGGCTAAAACAGTAATAGGAAGCTTCAGAGAAGCAGGGGAACTTGGACAAAGTCCCAAATGACAGCTAAGCCCTAAATAAACAGAAGATGGAACAAAAGCGATCTAGGTCTGGTCCTGTTTAGTAAATGTGTGTCAGGTCAACCTGCAAAGCCTAAAGGAGTTAATGACAGGAGGAAGCAGTGAGGCTGGTTAGCTACGAGAATTCTGGCAAACAGAGTCAGAATCTTATATTCCACTAGACATTGAAAGTAACGGCTTTTGCAAGTGACATATTTAAGAAAATCAATTCACGAAACATTAACAACACTGCTTACCACACTGACAGCCCCACAGCATTACGTTCCCTGTGATGGCACCATTGCATTGAATGAAACAGAGTGCCAGGGGATCTGACATGCTCTCACACTGCTCTGCTGAAGAACTTAGAACTTAAAACAGGGTGAGTCTGAAATTTAAATAATTTGGCTATTTAATGGAGCTCTGTTAATGTCTACTGCAAATCATTCTTTTCCGCTTGTCACACAAGGCATCTTAATGTGACAATATCAGGATGGACATACATTAAAATGTCAAAAATCAGCAATGGGAAGACATCCGGGTGCTAAAGTGGGGAGACACAAGCATGAGGACCTAACTTCAGATCCACAGCACCCACATAAAAGCCAGGCACAGTGGGATGCAACCTATAATTCTAGTGCTGGGGGGGGGGGGGAGAGAGAGAGAGAGAGAGAGAACCTAGGGCTGGCTAGTTGGCCGGCCAGCCTCGCTGAATTAGTGAGGCCCAGATTCATAAGACAACCTATCTTAAAAGGTAAGGCAGAAAACGACTGAGGTGAATACCCAATGCTAACCAGCAGATAAATGCACATGAGCACTCACACACACATATACACATGAGTGTACAGATCATACATGCACACAAAAAGTCAAGAACAGAAATGTCTTTTGATGGTTCCCTAATAATCACAGGAATATACGTGGTGCCCAGCATCACTAGATTACATACCATTTACTCCCTACTGATATCCTAATACCCCCAAAATATGTTTAATAAAACAGGAGGATTCGGAGTGTTCTCACTCTATCACAGTTTGGTTGTAGCCGGGCGGTGGTGGCGCACGCCTTTAATCCCAGCACTCGGGAGGCAGAGGCAGGCGGATCTCTGTGAGTTCGAGACCTACAGAGCTAGTTCCAGGACAGGCTCCAAAACCACAGAGAAACCCTGTCTCGAAAAACCAAAAAAAAAAAAACCACACACACACACAGTTTGGTTGTATAAGCAGAAGGAAATGGAGATCGTTGGTGACAGAATTTAGCAGCCATGCAAAAATGATCGCACCAGCAAAGGGACGGTAGTGGATCCAAGGCGGCAAGAGTAGGCTGGACAGCGGCTTGAAAACAAGAGGAAGCTCCACGAGCTTGTGCTAAGAGATGCTGCCCCTACCGTCCCACTATCAGCACCGCTGCACAGTCATTGGGTCCAGTTCCGCACTTACCCCTTTCTCTGAGAGGTTCAGAGTAAGCAAATGCAAAGCCCTCGTATGGGACGACTTCCAGTCTACCGGCATGACATTCCCGTAATTATCGGTCAGAGCATTCCAAATCCTTAAACAGAAGAAAACAGCAATCAGTGAAATATAACACTCCACGTGGCTTTTATTAAAGATCCAGTAAAAAGACCCAGAGTAAAAAATTGTTAAAAATTAAAATAAAAAAACAGAACGTGCATTGTTTCTTAGAAAAGTAACAACAAAAGTCATGAAAAATCCTAATTGGACTGACTATGTGCAGGACACTGTCCCAAGAAGTTTACACACACAGAAGAATGACAGAGCACACATACACACACACACACACACACACACACACACAATAAGTAACTAAATGTAAAAAAAGCAGTGTAGATAGATAAATGAAGACACAGACACGAAAACATACAGAGTCATTTAATCCTCAAAAACATTAGAAGCAAAAAAAAAAAAAACCTACATTAGAAGCAGAACCCTTTATTACCCTCATTTTCCAAGTGAAGAGCCAGGAAACACGGACAATCTCAGGACTGTCTCCAGAGACACAAAGCAAACATGCTGTGCTTTCCAAAGACATGCTATATTCTCTGGAGCAAGGATTCCATCTCAGTGTGAGAACAGGGTTTGATATCTATTTGTAATGTAACAGGGTAAGAATTGAGGCTGAGGAGAGGAGAGACAGTGAGGGATCACAGTGCAGGCAAGTTACACAGTCAACACAACTAGCCACCTTATCAAACAGCATCTGGGTTTGGGGGTGACGGGGTAAAGTGAAGGGACATTTGGCTTGGACTCAAGAAACAGAATTATACATTTATTTCCCTTCAAATAATGAGCCAGCCTTTGGCAAGTTCCTAACCTGCCTGGGTATCAGTTGCTCTGCTACAAGATGAAGCTTAGACATGAAGTGGGCATCTTTTCCAGATCCAACATTTTAAACATTAATTCAAACAAATCGTATTGAAAAATATTACAAACCACAATGGACAAAAAGACAGCAGACTTCATAGGGTTTGGTATCAAAATAATCATCAACATAGTACAACATGATGTTTTATGGGATATCAGTATGATAAAATTTAGTTAGGGCAAGAGAGATTAAACACTACACATCTGAGCTACTTACTGGGAGACAACACTAACTGTCACATTTTTTAAAGTTAAAATGTATAACAGGTATCTAATTGTAAGTAATAAATCATGAAGTATTTAGATAAGCCTCTTTTATCCAAGTTTGTCAGCAATCAATATGCAAACAACCCTAGCAAGGGCAAAAATGTAAAAGGAAAAGAAACATACTTGATTTAATAAACAAAATTCTATGAAAAGAAAAAAAAAGAAAAGAAGCTGCCAGAAGTATAACAACCCAAGGGGTGTGTGGCCTCCAAAGCCAAATCAACCTCAAGAAAAATATGAACCCAAAAAGCTCTAGGAAGCAGGGTCTATGCCCCTACAAATTGGAACCTGGTGTTCTCCAGTGTCAATGAACCAGAACTGGAGGCAAAGGCAGCTACTTGCTGAGTCTGACCATCCTGGGCCACAACTTTTCAAACACTGACTATATACCTAACCCTGGCCAAGGCCACAGACTATTGTAAAAGGTGAGGAGGCCCAGGTTTGGAGGAGCTGCTTTGCCTGTTGGTCACACCCTTCTTCAAAGAAGCTACAAGACACAGACAGTGGAGTTTCTCTCCAGGAAGGAGTATCTCTGGGCTCCAGCTTCCAAGAAAACAAGGCCAACAAACAAGGCCGGCACTCTCCCTCTCCCAAGGTCAGAACAATTGTAGCTGGAAGGACATAAGGTCAACTTCCCGCAAAGATTTCCAGAATTCTCTAGTCAAGACGTGTGAGCTGCCTTGTCCTTATCACAAATATTATGACCTGTCATAAACAGCTGGTGGGAGAGCTCCCTCCCAGGCAAAGTCCTATAGACAGCGGCTCCAGGGGACACTGTCCTGGCCATCCTGGGCCACAGTACAATCCATACTGACAGAAACTGAAAGCAAAGCTCAAGGAAGTTAAGTAAAAGATCCAAGTCCTGGCAGCAATCAGGCAAAGGGATTTCCTTACTGCTGAGAGAAGCTGGAAAGGACCCTACAAAGCCCAAGAACACCAGAGGAAGGAGACGAGGGGGAGTGAGCCCTAGTTCACGCGTACTCTTACTAACACACCACTAATAAAAAACATATCAGGAGCCGGGCGGTGGTGGTGCAAGCCTTTAATCCCAGCACTCGGGAGGCAGAGGCAGGAGGATCTCTGTGAGTTTGAGGCCAGCCTGGTCTACAAGAGCTAGTGCCAGGACAGGCTCCAAAGCTACAGAGAAACCCTGTCTTGAAAAAAAAAAAAAAAAAACCTACAGCATTTTGAGAAGTAAAACTGCCCACTGTCCCAGGTCAGGATGCTGTCTTTGTGAAACTGATGGTTGTCCTATCTGATTAGTGGACTAATGAACTGTTGCGCTTGCCTTTTTCTTCCTGCCAGTGTTTTCTCAATGCCCTTCAGAGAACAGTTGACATGTTTCCAGCTCTTCCATCTGGGGCCCAGCTTTCTGGAGGGTGTAGGGGAGAAGAGAAGGAAAGGACTGACAGTTGTCTCACACTGTTATGTTATGTACAGTGTGCATCAACCTGGAGGGCGTCTTTTTCAGACCACCTGTCCTTACAGCAAGGGTGCCAAAGGCTGGAGGAAGGCTTAGCAGCCAAACAGATAACGTTGTAACATTCAGCACTTGTCCAGGGCTACAAAGATAGGTGAGCCCAACTTAGGAACAGTGAGCTGCATGCTCCACCTTCTGAAAACTCAGCTTAAAGAACAGTTACTCACTTCTTGTTTACTCCACTGTCCACAAACCAGCACCGTTACTGTCATTCCTAGTTCCAAACAGTAATGAAGATAAGGAAAGTAAAAGGGCTGGCTTGATGCCATCTTCTGTTACTCATGACCTACATGAAATTTAGCAAATAATTTCACCTTTCTAGGGCTTGTTTTTCAACACAAGTAAATGAAAGACAATAAAAACCACATAAAAGGAAAGCTATGAAAATCAAAGACAGGGCTAGAGAGATGGCTCAGAGGTTAAGCACACTTTAGCTGCTCTTTCAGGACCTGGGTTTGAATTCCCAGCCCAGGGATCCAATGCACTCTTCTGGTCTCCACAGGTATCAAGCAAACATGTGGTGCACAAATGTACATACAAGCAAAACCTAGACATATACAATAAAAACGAATAGAGGCTGGAAAGCTGGCTGTGCAGTTAAAAGCACAATACTTGGTATTGGCGTAAGAACAGACAGGAAGACCAACGGAACCAAATACAAGACTCGGATAGCAATCCACACATCTTCAAATACCTGATCTTTGATTAAAAAAAAGTAAAAAATATAAAATGGAAAAAAAGAAAGAATATTTAACAAGTGGTGCTGGCATAATTGGATAGCAACATGTAGAAAAATGTAGATAGACCCATATCTATCATCATGAACAAAACTCAAATCCAAATGGATCAAAGACCTCAACATAGAGAAAGTGGGAAGTACACTTGAATGCATTGGCACAGGGAACCACTTCCTAAA